CTGGGGAAGCTGTGTTGTACCAACCAGGTTCATCTATTTTTCTTTGATGATGCTCTTTCCCCACCCTCTCTGGAGCCTCTGCCTACCTTATTGACACCCCGCTCTCCACACCCTTTCTCTTCCCGCTGTCCCACCCCTCCCAACAAGTGAGAGAGAATCTAAAACCAATTGCTTTTTTTTCCTTCTTCTTCTTAATGACTGTTGATGGGAGAGAGAGCTCTACTTACAGGTGACAAGTGAGTCTGGTTTCTAGTGTCTTATTCATGGCTCTGGCTTGCTCTTTTCTGTCAAATGTAGGTCTCCAGGCACCACATCATGATTATATAAAACAAAACAAGTTTTAAAAAGTTTATTCCAGAAACATGCCCTAGCAAGTAAAAATTCGGGTTTCTTTACCAGAAACGGAAAAGACAAACTACAGGTATCCAAGTACCAAAGCAATGATCTAATTGGCCAATGTCTCCCCATTCTTAAATTCGTATTGTATGAGTTTGCTAGGGCTGCCATAACAAAGTATCACAAACTGCATTGTTTACAGCAGAAACACATTATCCCACCGTTCTGGAGGCCAAGAGGTGTTGCCAGGATTGGTTTCTTCTGAGGGCTCTGAGAAATGGATCTATTGCAGGCCTCTCTCCTTGGCTTGTACATGGCCAAATCCTCCCGGTGTCTCTTCACATCATTTTCTCTTTATGCAGGCTGGCTCTGTGTCCAAATTCCCCCTTGCAGAAAAGCACTAAAAGTCCTAATGATTAGGACCCACCTTAATGCCTTCATTTTAACCTGAACCATCTCTATAAAGAACCTATCTCCAAATAAGGCCACATTCTGAGGTGCTGGAGATGAGGACTTCAGCATCTCTCTTTGAAGGGGGATGAAGGGAGGCTGGGAGACAATTCAACCATTATCAGTTCTCACCACCACCAAAAAATACGTGTTTCTGTGTCTGTGTGTGTATTTCTAGGAAGTGAGGGAGAGCAGGAGGAAGGAGGAAGTGAGCGCCTATTCCACAGGTATGCTTTGACAGGATTGAGGTCCACAGAGTAGGTGAAACACCAGGTTGTAAGTAGAAGGAAATCTGTTTGAAAAACAGTTATTGATACTAACACTATAATCTGAAAAGAGCGAGAGTTATGAGTTACTGATAAAGTTTTAGCATTATAGGGACCTGCAAGGTGGGCAGTAAAAGATAAAGTTTACTAAAGAACATACCTATCTGTTATGACAGTAAATAATTAAAGTGAAGAACTGAAAGGTCTTTAAAAGCTCATTGATATCTAGGAAACTAATGTAAGAAAATATGGCATGTATACATTTATAAAAATACACTAACAATATGACAATAAATGTGCAGTAATAAACTAAGGAGCAGCTTTGTGAAAATATAACTTTCCTTTACTAACACATACAAAAATGTGTAAAGGTTAAATACTGAGGGAATGTTTCTAGTTTTTTACTATTATCAATCATTGAGGAATTTCTCAAAGTAACAGTAATAGTTCATTTCAATTGCCTGAAATTTTACAAAGAAAAATTATACTCAAATTCTAACATGCATCTTCATATTGTCTATATGGTTCCTTATATAGCTTAATGTTATAAATTCAGTAGGGATAAAAAGTCATATGGTTTGCTTTAAAATAAACTACCAATAGTAAATACAGTAGCAGAAGCATTTATAATAATAGATAACATTTACTGAGCAAAATGCTTTACATAAATTACTCCTTTTTAATTTAAGTAGAGGATATATTCACATTAAATTATAAGACTTCTGGAACGATAACTTATACAGTTGGCAAGAACCAATCATGAAAACCTTCAGTTTGATTATAATAAAGGTGTATTATGAGGGATCTATAGAGGAACCAAAAAAAGGGGGGGGGAGTGCGGGATACAAAGGACTCATGAGGGGCAAATGAGAAAAAGATGTAACTAATCAATTTGAGTCTAAGCTTATATAGCTACCTAGAAATAATCACATTGACAAGAGGGATCATCTTTTAGAAGTCAGACTTTTCTTGTGATTCATAAAGGATTAGATGTAACAATAGAGAACTTGTCAGATACGTTTGAAAATAAGAATGTGAGAAATTAAAGGATGAGATTGCATTTCACTGGAGAATTGATGAAGCAGTGAATGTAATAGCCTTTGTTTTTGTCTGTTTTTCTGGTCAATATAAGAGGGGAAGATCCTAAGACAAATATCCAGGCTTTATTATATAAGACATGAGAGTACAGAAAACCCCTCCAGCTAACTCCGCTGATCTTGCTGTAAAAGACAAAAGTGAAAAGAAAACAAATCTTTAAAAGATGGCAATGGAAAGCTGAGGGAAAAAGCAGTTGTGGTTTCCTTTGTTGGTCTGTGTAGAGCAAGGATTTAAAAGACCAGAGACATCACCCCCTGTGGAGAAGTGGCTGAAAGGCTGCTTCCTTTATAGCCTCCAGTCAACATTACAGAGAGCTACAGAAACCTAGCAGGACATCCCCACCAGAAATGTGGCTTGATCTCATGAAGCCACACTGTGAATGTCAAAATGACATCTGGTAAGTTTAACATTTGAACAATTTAACTCTTTTAAAGTCCATTATAAGAATTTTTTAAATATTCTTCACCTTCAAAAAGCAAAATACTATTTATAGACAAGTTCCTCTTCCGTAGACTAAAAAATGGCCACCATTCCTC